TCACCGATTCATTAAATAACAACTTTATTTTTTTTATCAAATTATGACATGTTTGTTGATTTTGAAAATGCCTAGAACAAATATGAGAAGTCTGTTTGCCCCATGTTTCTTCCTTTAGTTAGCAAAAAAAATGCCTAGCACATGCCTTCCTCTCACATTTAGGCAATAACTTTCCATTATGGGAACCATTCCTTACAAAAATAAATAAGAGAGATTTTATCAATAAATCTTTCAAATTAAAAATAGCATAAAGCAAAAATATATATAGTTAAATTACCTTATGGTGATCGGTAATGAACACCCAATCCTTTTATTGGTCAGTAGTAATGCTAAGGTCTTTGATGATTTATTGGACAAACAAAGTCCATGTATCTTCTGTTTCTCCAGTGAAAATTGCCCAAGCTACTAAAAATATTTGATTATTTTCATCACTTCCTATAGCTACTAGCAACTCTCCTTTAATAATGCCTTTCAAAAAGCATCCATCCAACCCTATGACCCTCCTACAACCAATCAAAAACCCTTATTTGCAATAATTAAATGACACATACATTCTATCAAAAAACAAGGTCAATATTTAGGAATAAAGATGGGGTCACATCAATAAAATAAGATGTAATCACATTGTTTGAGTTATTTAACTTCAAACAAGTAATCATGTAACTTTGCATACTCTTTCCTATAATCACCCTTTAATTTCTTCAATACTTTTGCTCTAGCTCTCATGCATTTGGTAAATATCACTTCATTCTGGAAACCATCCCTCACAAGCTATCTCAAATCTTTCAATTTGATGGAAATCATTGCCCTTATCTTGGCAAAGTAATTTGCTACTAACCAACTATTAGTTAGCCTTCTATTTTTATTCATTGGATTGCACATATGTTCATTAACAAGTATTTTAATTTGGAATGCATTTACAATTAAAGTTATAGCAACATAAATTCTCCATGAACTCGTTTCCACACACTTAGCAATAAATTGACCTTTAATATTCTTTTCAATTTTTATAACCCTCCTATATAGCATTGTATAATCATCAATTGCTTTCTTCAATTTTTTTTTTTTTTTTGTTCTTAAATATCATGCCTAACACAAAATGAGGTGTCTTTGATTGTCCTTTTTTAAACCTCTTACATATGCTCCTTTTACAACATGATCTTCATCATCTTCATCATAACTAACATCATCATCACTCCAACTAACATCGTCACTTAAACCATCTTCTACATTCATCTCTTAAATATAATCTGGTTTTGGTCTACCTATGCTACCATATTTTGTAGTTCTAAATTTCTTAGTTCTTAAAGCTCGTATCTTTTCAACTCCATCCTACAACTCTTTATCGTCATCATCACTAAAAAATAAAATATTATTCAGATCTAATTCCTCCTTATCATCATTATTAGAAATGACATAATTATTATCACTATTTATTTTTTTATCACTATATGTTGGCATATTTGTATTTTCAACCCTAACATTATATAATTCCCCATCACCACCTACTCAAACTGCAGTTGCATGTTGTTCAACATCTTCAAAGCCTCCTAATAAGCTTTCAATTATCTCATGTACTATTTTAACCCCTTTCTTCCTCAACTCTTTCTTCCACGAGACCCAACCTTAATTTCATCCGCACTATTGTTATCGAATCCAAATCAATAGTCACCACCTCAACATTATTAGCTATATCATCATCAATATTATCATCAAACTCAACAAAGTTAGTATTTTCATAATCATAAACATTATCAACATGATCATCCAAATTGTTAGCATCACCAAACACATTTTGATTAAGACAAAATTCATTCACACCAATATAAACATATCTAACGAGTCTCACTCCCATCAACATCAAACAAATACATAAAACGTGCATGCTCAACAAAGACTTGGATTATCTTGTATCAATTGATTATGTTATCTACTTTTATTGAGTATCCACCATTCGGAGCAAGTTTCATTCCTTATGATAATCTCATGCCAAGAACTCTATACCAAACCCTAGAAACATCAAAATCCCCCAATTTGCTAGGCTAAATGTTTTTAAAATCAATTAAGCTAACAATTTCATGATCCACTTCTTTCATTATTTTTTTTTACGCCCAATATAAGCTATATCGAGCCGATGTTATAGATATCCACCATAATGATACTCAACATAACCCATATTTTTGCTGAAAATAACAAAAAAAACCTAAGGAAGATGTAGGACCATTTATCAAAATACAATAAAGAGACAAGGTTGAAGATTTGTTGTTTAAAATAAAACTATACAAGCAAAAAAAGAGAATAAAGATAAAAATTGAGAAACACAAACAAACAAATGAACATAAGCATTGAATAATCATCCACCCATAGAGAAAACACAATACCCCATATAACCCTACTAGTAACCCTTAAACGCAGCTTACCTAAAATTATTATCAAAAGAATCAAACAATCGATTAAAAAAAAAAACCCAAGATATAATTTTTTGTTTGGTCAACAAAACTTATCTTGTTTTTCCGAGTTTATGACACTTTTTTGCTTCCAATCTTCCTCATTTTTGCTCCCCCCCCCCCCCCCCATTTCCTATCCATTTATGACTTTTGTTCTATCTAATCTCACCAAAATTGTAGATTTTTCCAAAATAATTTAGGATTTTTCCTCACCTCTCTCATATCAATTTAAATTCAAAATTGTCTCTTTGATTTCTATGATACGATTCAGTTAAGTTTTTCTATTTATTTTTTTCACACTAACAAAACAAGTGTGTAAGTTAAACGAATCGTTCGTTTAACTTTCACCCCATTTTGTTAATGTTTTTATTAATTATTATTATTATTATTATTAGTTAGAACATAAAAATTAGGCCTAAACTCGGTTAGTTTGCAACCTTTGTTTTTTTGTTAACGTGTCGATTGCAACCGCCATGTGACGCTTAAAAAAGCCACGTGGAAAATCTAGTCAAACACGTCAATAAAATTAGATTTTAGGTGAACTCGGACACCAAAATAAATAAATAAAAAATCAAAGTTCGAGTATTCAATCATGAGAAATCATGGTTGGGCATGAAAATAGGGAAAAAAAATCAAAAGTTGAGAACCAAAAAACCCCTCTCTATAGTAAATATGGAAAAATAAGGTCAACATTTTTAATGCATACATCATATTATTTAAAGAATCTAAATAGTAATGCGAATAGAATTGATAAAAAAAATTTAAGAAAGACATGCATGTCTATTATTCTATAGTTTAGTGCGAAACTATGAAACATGGACATGAATACAAGATACAAATAACACAATACAAATACGGTGATACGACAATTTAAAAAATTTAGGATGCGATATATATATGAACAAATTTATTGTAAAAATAAATAAATATCGGTGGAAAAATCAATACAATAAATTGTATATAAAAATTTATGAAAGAATAAATAGAATTCATGTTATTTATATTTTCTTTATAATTCTAAATAAATTTGGATATCTAAAAATTAATTTATCTTGAAAAATATTATAATAATTTTGAAAGGATCAATCACAATTTTATTTGTTTTCATTATTTAATTTGTCATTTATTAAAAAAATACACAATTTTCTTTTAATTTAGAAATAACCATGTCATATCTTGTTATGAAATTTGTATAAAAAAAAATTATGATACATACGTTTTTACTTAAAATAACTCTTACATGAAAATATGATCATGTCATCAATCATAGTGTAGCATTTATTCTCATTGTTTTTTAAGTTTATAAATTAGAAATAAATAAGAAATGTGTTGTTTAGTTAAATGTTTTTTTTTTCCCTCAAAAAACTTATTTGGGTCATTTTTCAAAATAATTACGAATTTAACATAAATAATATTCCTTGCATCGCTCCCATATCGTGTTTAGTAAATGACCTAAAAATCCACAAACCCATTTGAAAATATACATATATTCCACACGGATTAAAAAATCATAACATACGCACATTTACTGCGATATTATTTCCTCCAGTATCGTAACCGTGCCTCACATGTATCCAAAACTGAATTTATTTCATTATTATTATTTTGCCATATCTCCCAATATCCTATACATATCGAACCGTATCTACCACGTACCCATATCCAATACATGCCTGACAGATACGGAAGCTTTTTTGAAGTATCCGTGGTTTCTAGCTGTGAAATCCATCTACTGATGGGAAACTTTGACAACAATATTATTAAATTGCACAGAAGATCACCCATACCAGTCTCACAGGATTATGAGAATCAAACTCTGAATTATAATTACGGTACGGAGTTGATAAATTACACGACGTCGCACATCATGTGAGACTCAAGGAATGGCATCTCAAAATTTGGGTGTCCTTTACTCCTTAAGGCTTGTTTACACATATTGTACACTAGAAATACAAATCAAAATATGCCCTTGTACCTCAAGTTTTGGCACCAACTTAACCACCAAGGAAATAATCAAGCCGCCAAAAATATTAACATCACCATACAGCTTCATTCTCTTTCCTTATTGGCAAAAGCATTCAATTGTCTTTCCAGCTGCATGCAAGAAAGAAGGTAAGACACCCATAATGATTAGAATAGGCACGAGTAGATTTCAATATCCAGAAAATGTAAGTCAGATGCTGAACTCCGCTAGAATGTGTACGCAGGCAAGTAGAAATTTCATCAATAGTTTCATAATTTAAGATTATAACATGGAAGAGTTGATAATAACAGGGGAGTACCAACCCTCTGTACAGCTGTACTCCGTCTACTTAAATTAAGCCATGTATACTAATTGACCCAGATTAAAGTTCATATGATTTTAAATGATTTAGAAAAATGGAAACAATATATGAAAATGGAGATAAAAATCATTTGAACTTTAATGTGATTAAAAAAAAAAAAGAAGCATTTATTGGTAACAGTAGGAACCAAATCCAGATTGAAATGTCAGATAAAAAAATATAGAAATTCATCCCTATGCACCGATTAAAAGCATTCATCATGCATTACTTAAACTCTGGCTTGAAGCATTTGAGCAAACAATCCATTTAGAAAATTGTGGTAGTAAAACCCTAAATGATCATAAGAAGATAATCGAATGGTGGAAGGTCGACTAAACTGGTAAACCATTCAATAACAGCAACAGATGATTTGCCTGATAAAAAGAAGGGCTATACACACACACAGAGAGAGGATAAGAGAAAATGAGCACAACCAAATGTAAGCACACTAATTTGGGACAAGCCAAAAAAGCAAACTCTTAAATCCAAGTAGCATTAGTGCAAACCTGAACATTTTTCATTTTCTGTTTCTGCAATTCGTCCAAGAGGCTTCCAACACTGACATGAGAGACCAATTTCAGCTTCATTCCGGAATAGCAAGGAATAATTTCAAAACTCATAGTTTTTGGGTCTCTCTACATACCTCTGATGTAGACTAATCACCTGAGCCTCCAGCTCCCTCTCCCTCGTCAAAGGAGGAGATATCTGCATGTGGTGCAAAAGATCATTTGATCACATGGTGAGCAACTATTCCTAAAGTGGATACAATCATTCATTCACATGGGACTAATGAGAAACAAAGTTTCTTTCAATGGGATTTAATTTCTCCATCAGATCTGATCTGACAGAAGAAAAAAGGATAAGGTAGCAACAAAATTTGAAAACTTGGCTGGGTAACGAGTTTTTTGGTAAACAATTAGACTTCTAGCACCCAAAATAATAATTAAAAAAAAAAAAAAAACTACCATTAAATATGGAAAATTAATACTAATCACAATTTGTGCAAGATCTTTCCTGTTCCTTATTGTTGCCAAGGAACAAAACGATGAGCAATTAAACCAAAAAACAGATAATCTAATTGCTGCCTTTAACAGAAAAGAAAATTAATTCTTTTTTTTTTTTTTTTTTGCAAGAAAAAAAAAAAAAACGTTTATAATGCTTAAAATCATATGCAAAGCAGAACTTCAAGTATGCACCCTATAGATGCAGTACATTTTGGTACTATTTCTATGTTCCAAAACCTTTCACACCAAAAGGAAAAAGCAAGAGTTAAGTACAAGAATAAAAAGAAAGAAAAGCTACCTGCAAAAGGTCATTAGTGGCTGCCTCACTTGATTCTACCTGCTTGCCTGCATTTAGTCAAATACAAGTAATTATAGCTAGCAGGACTGGTTGGCAACAACAGAAATGATTAAAAAGATGAGGGTCATTACCAGAGGTTAATTCCACATACTTGATCAGTTTAAGAATTTCCTCCTGTCAACAATCAGTTGAACAAGTATTTTCACAAACAATAAATATAATATAAAAATGGGAAGCATAGAAGAGACCTACCCTTTGCAAGGCGTTCTGCTGCAGAATACATTGCAATGATGGGAGAACCGAGGAAGCAGCGAGGTTTGATGTTGTTGCAGAAGTTGAACCTCCACAAATTGGGTTGAAATAGCAGTTCGTAGGACCCTGATTGAGAAGAATAATGGCAATGGTTACAAAACCATCACCTGAAAGATAAATTTCTAAGTTCCATCCTCATCATCACTCAAACATCAAAAAATAACAATCAAGAATCAAACAGACTCATCTATCACATTCTTAAGTTCCCTGGGGAAAGAATCATGATTTACTGATATCTCAACTAGGAACAAAGTACAATTTTCGTCAAGGTACATAAAATTAACCTCAAACAATTCAAACATTCAGTCTGTGTAGAAACCTTTTACAGTGATAATTCAATTTAATTCAGTTCTTTTCCTCATGATTGAACACTTCAAAGGCATAGAATTTTTTTCCTTGTGAAATAATAATTATATTAATGGAGAAAAGGAACAGCAACAACACGGAGAACTAGCCAATCTCCTACAAGATAAAAGCAAAGGAAAAACTATGAAGAACACAAAAGAAGGATAGACAGCTGTGATGGGATAGAATTGCTTTTTTCTGGTGCTTTATGGAGCAATGCTTCTGAGTGTCTTATGACATTCAAAGAGATTGGAGGGCTCCTCAGAAATTATCTTTTAAAATCTATGGAATTATGTGCAAAGACGATCTGGAAAATTGATAAGATCAGATTTCAAAACACATTAACTTGGTCATAAAATCAAGTTCTTAGAGTTATAGGGGTAGGTATAATATATGCTTTCAACATTCAAACCTTGTCTCTTGACGAACATCATTGATGCAGGCAGAAAATCAAAATAAGAATATGAATTTTATTCCTTCAGTGTATTTTTTTCCAAGTATGAAAGATCCTAACAAGGATTTTCTATGTTTAGTTTAATCCTAACAACCAGACAGTTAGTTTTTACTAGGTGTTCTTGAGTAATTTCAGTGTTAAGCTTTTATTTAGAACCTCTATTTTCAATGGTTTGTTGCACCAATCATGCATGGTGAGTACTCAGCGGCATAGTTTCATTAGCGAATGAAGTTACAGCTGGAGAAGGTCATACAGCATTTGTCATTTTCATGACACCACCCTGATCTCTTGATACCTGCACACGTAGAGAAGACTTATCCAGTCTTTTCTATTTTACTAGTTTTATTGGCACATGCTATGCAGTGTATTATTCAATTATTTAATATGTTTAATAATTACAAAAAAAAAAAAAAAAGGTTTTAATATCACGTTGTTTCCTATATATAATTAGAATACTCTTGCATGGAGTTTGATCAATTATGATTACTTTCGTGTGTTTGATTTTTTAAAGCATATAAAATGAGTTTTCTTTTTGTTTGAAGAATTCTTTTTCATTATCGGTAAGCTTTATTAAAGCAGTAATAATATATATATATATATATATATATATATATATATTTTGAATCCTTAAGTTTAAGCGAGTCGAAGGTAAATATAGGACAACTGAAGATCCAAATTTGAGGTAATTTTGATATTTAATATGTTTATATGCTTGTTTTAAACACTTTAAAGTTTGACAATTGTCACCATTCCAATAAGTTACTATATAGGTTAGGGTCATTAAGAGGTCTTGTCTTATTTAGAGTTTTATGTAGCTTGGGATGTAAAGGAAAAAACAGGTTTAACAACATTCCTTTATAATATGGGTATTTTTGATAAGTCAAATGTTCCAACATAGTTCATTCTTTTATATATAGTTATGGATTATGAATTGTTTCAAGTGCTAAGAAATTTCCTAAAGTTCATACTTCAGAAGTATATTTGAGATCAAGTAAAAAGGAATGTGACATAGCACAAAACATTTTATTAGAAACACTAACTCTTACATGTTGCCCATCAGTCCATTGACCAAAAGACCAAGTGTTATAGAAATGGCATGTTTGAGAACCAAATTATGAAAGGCTGAAAACTGTCCAAGATATGATTCTGATAGTAAACTGATAGGAATAGTTCGCACGCCAACTAGAGGTTAAGTTAGGTTAACCTGCGATCGTAGAATAGTAATCATATATACCTTAGGGCTGAGATCAGCTGAAGTGACTTTGAAGCGTCCCTTGCGTTGGACAACTGCTCCTTCTGATGCATCCTCCACTGCACAAATCAGTAAGAGATGTAGCTTCATTATGCAATATAAACAACTAACATCACCTCCAATCATATATGTAAAGATATAATAAATCTGAGACCTGTACATGTAAAGAGGGGAAAAAAAAATTGCAAGACTGAACTGTGACATACCAGATGAAGGGTTATTGGTATCCCTCTTCTGTCGATACAATGGACCACTATAGTTTCTCTCCGACTTGTACTTTGGCTGTAGAATATCCCTACATAATATGAACACACTAAGTTATTATTGACTACTACAACCAAGCTTTATGCATATTGATACACGGTATTGTCTGAAGCAACAAATGTCAACTCGACTTTGAGATAGCACTATGTTGCAAATTGAAACAGCCTATTAACTAAAATTTTAGCCCAGAAATTCAAGCATGTTGATCATATACATGGGCTTTAAGATTAATTTAAACAGTAATCCAACTCTTTTCAGCTCATTTTCCATTTCTTGCAGATTACTAATCATGTTAATCAGCCACAGATCTGCTATGACCCCATAAAGCAGCAAAATATTTATTTAGTGGCTTCACAAATCCATTAAATAGCTGGAGTTTTCATCTTGTAGCAACACTTTAATTATAAACAATAATCATCTTCTGCCCAGCCTTCATTGCATTTGTTTTACAGAGTAAATTATGATTTAGTTCTATTAGATAATAATACAAATCATATCCTGTGACCTTACCAAACAGCTTAATCTTTTAGGTGAGATAGTCCTTTAATATAGTATCAAAGCCTTGATGACAAAACAGTTAAGAGTTCGAATCCTACCACCCTACTTTCTCTTCTAATTAATTAAGCATAAAGTAGTGTGGGTCTGTGCAAGTTTCAAGTCTAAAAGGCTTTCACTTGAGGGGATATATTACAGAATACTATAAATCATATCTTGAGTCTTACCTAACAGCTTAATCTTTTAAGTGAGATAGTCCTTTAATAAATTCTTTTGTTTTTGATGATTTTGTAAGTTAGTCCTTTCTAGTTGAAAATCATAATTGTTATTTCTTTTTTAGCCACTTTCATATACAATTTTTGTTTTCTTTGTGGTAAGTGAGATTAAAAAAATTTGACTTGAAATGAAGGACGGTTTAGGGAAAAAGCAATTAAATTGCCATGGAAAACCAATGGGACAACTGAGTGACAAACAAACATATTTTAGGGATTCAACATTAGGTTTTCTAAACCAAAGGGACAGCTAATTATTTCACTAAAAACAAAGATTAAATAATAGCTCACTCTCCGTATACATAAAAGTTGCATGAAAATTTTAACTGTGAAAGGATTGATGAAATTTTGCAATTTCTTTTTTTTTTTTTTCAGTTTAAAAATCTGTGAAGGACACAAGATTTTACAAGAGAAAATGAGAGGACCAATAACATGAAAAAAACTCCTATCACCACAAAAGAGATGCCCAATGAGCATACTGCAGCATGTGACTGATTTCACAGACATGGACGAAAACAATTTTTACAAGGTACGACACATGAACATTTCAAGATTACCATACCTAGTCTTTAAGCTATAAATGCCAAGAGACAAAAGGTGTGCTCTAGATTTTTTTCATTAACTCAAAATTTTAGTCCTTGATAGAATAATTAATTTTTTAGGTAACATATTCTTCTACCCTCAGGGAGTATGGAAGAAAATGTCACATATCTACTTCGAAAATCAGTAAAACAACGAGGAGCAAGAGTATAACAAAATCAACTTGGAAGAAAAACTGACCTGTTTTCATCGCCAATAACCTTTTTGGAGAAAAGGCATTATCTGGCAATAATGGACCACTCAAAAATAATTTATGCTCAGAAATGACATGACGTGGTAAAGAACTACTTCGCCCAGAATTCTCACCCTCGTTTCTTTCGCTTTCTTGGTCCATGGCACTAGGTGACAACTCCGTAAGAACCTGCTGTTCACATTCTGTTTGCGAATTACCTTTCCAATTTGGACTAGTTGAACCCACATCCTCCTCACCAACATCAAAACAACCTCTGCATCAGAATACATAAAAGCATAATTAATATGATGAAGAATATTTGTATTTGATCACAAGTTAAGATCACAAAACTGTTCTAGAAAATGTAAAAGCACAAAAATTAATCATAGCTTATATAAATGGATTTTAATTCAAATACATTTTTTTTCATAGATTAATTGCAGTTCAATGTATTAATTTAAAAAACTATTACCCACTACCATAGAGCCAGTAAATTTGTTAAAGGTCAGATAATTAGAATGGGAAATGGGAACCATGAAAGAGAAGGGAGAGGGAGAGAGAGATTTATACTTAAGTGCTTGAAGAGGTTTAACAGGAAATGAAGAGAGTGAACTCTCCAAATCATGATCATTGAACCCATCCTGAAACAAATGAAAGGTGATCTTAAACATATGAAAGGATAACCATGACTTAACAGTCAACCATAAATATCTGAGAATGAGGCAAAAACCTAAAAGAAATCGTTATTGGGTGAATGATACCTCATGACTAGGAGCAGCAATCGAATGATTAGTGCTTTTGGTGGGCAGCTTTTCAGCAGGAAACCCAACATCGTCGCACCTGTCCATTTGTCTCCCGCTCAAATATGGATCTTCTGCATTTGACATGCAATCATAATCCTGAATCTGCAGGTAGCAATGGTGCTGGTGCTGATCAATAGAAATTAATAATGCAAAATTTTGCATACTTTCCCAACCCTTTTCGATGTGTTACTTCTCTAAGCAATCATGCTTAACCATGTACATGCAAACCAGGAACACATTACTTACAAGGGCAGCTTGACTTTTTAAATCTTCTAGGTTGAAATTCCAGGCACTGATTCCTCTTATGTACTCTTGCTGCAAAGCACCAGAGTTGAGTTCAAAGTTATATCAAGGTGAGAAAAATCCAGAAACTGTAAGCACTCTGATTATCTGTAAGCTTTCGTATAATATCCTAACAGAGGCACACACAAAACATACAAGCGTGTTACCTTTTTTTGTAATGCAAAACAACTTTTAAGAGTAAAGGCAACAGTACGATGGGAACATCATTGATGTAAAAGTTGCCACAGCTTAGAAGTTGCTATTTACCAGAAAAACATCAACCCAAATCAAATTAATTAAGCATTCCAACCTTCTGATCAAATTCGAACATTCTAACTCAATCTAACACCGCAGGATTACTTTTGTGGTAGTTTTTTTTTTTTTTTTTTGTTATTTCATCAATCTATTAAGATTCTAGAGGTTTCTTATGAACCCTAAATTCTATTATCTTGTTCCAACTTCAATTTTATCCTAATTTTAGCAACTATTTGCTGCAATTTCTATTTCCTACTGTTTTCCTCTCCTCGCACTACATCAATAAGTCTCATGCTACCAAGTGAGAGTATAAGAAATGGCCATTTATGTAAAGAGCATTGATGACTTGGCCTTGTAGAGTATTCTGGACCCTGCTTACCCAAGACCAACACAAGGTTTTGCACTTTTTAAGCTAAGGTTCTTTGGACAAGTCCAAAATATGTGTGTGTTCCCAAATCACAAGGAAGATAGGCAAAAGATGATATTGCATTAATGTCAATTCATATTTGGATGACAGGATGGGGTGAGCACTGTTTCTTAACACCCGTTCGTTGTTCTTAGTATCACACATCCAAACTCCACCATGATAAGTTCAAGCCTAATTTTACCCACAGTAAAAGGGAGGACTTAAAATCTACATAATTAGGTTTAGCCAGAAGTTAAACCATTAACATATACCACCTGTGATATTTGCTCTTTATCCCCATAGAGAGCCTTATTCTGCACAAGAAGATCAGCCTCTTTTGCCTGAATAAAAGAAAACAGAAATCTGAGGAGTTGTCCCAGAACTTATACCTATCTCCATAAGAGAGTTTACAAAACTGAAAAGATGTAGTTGGAGATGAGCAAGAGACCTTCAGCATCTTAAAACGTTCCCCTAAAGGAGAAAGACCATCAAGAATGGTCCGAGCAAGATATTCATGAGGGCGTGCATGCTTAAAGAAATGGTGCTTCAATAGCTTTTCTGACGTGGGTCGTTTCTTTGGATCCTTCACTAAGCAAGCGGCTACCAGCTCTTTAAATGACTGGAGAAGTGAAATGCTCCCATCACAATTCAAGAGGAAAAGAGTTAAATTGTTTCAGCTGAAAAACAAACCTTTGAAAATCTCTTGTCTCTTTCATAGTCGAGCCCTGGAGGTGCATTTTGTAAGGTCATCAGCAAAACCTGCAGTGATAAGGGGAAAATATCAAAAGTGTGCAATGAAAAAATAAGCACTGGAGGAAATGCTTCTGATATGGACACAACATAGGCATCCAAAAAGGAAATTTACTTTCATCGGTGGATACTTGGAAAAGGGAGCATGGCCATGAGCAAGTTCAAGGGCTGTTATCCCAAATGACCAGATATCTGCTCTGTTCAGAGAAACAAGTTTCACGACAATTTCAGCAAAAAAAATTGAGATTTTCACAAAGCAAAGAAAAAGAAGATTGGAAAAAAAAAAAAAAAAAAAAAAAAAAAGATTCACATCCCACTCACTTAAAGTCATATCCATGCAATTGCTGCATAACTTCAGGAGCCATCCTGCAAAAAAAAAAAAAAAAAAAAAAAAATCTAATAACATATACAGTATTTGTTTGCCTCAGATAAACAGCATTGAATGCAGGTTTCCAACAATTACCAGCAAGGAGTGCCAACAAAAGTATTTCTGGAGCGTTGCCTATCTCCAGTGTCAAACATGCATGCTGACACTCCGAAGTCTGCTAACTTCACTGAGCCATCAGAATCAATTAAAATGTTGCCAGCCTGCAAAGAGTCAAGAAAGCAGGTAAGAGAAACAGCAAAATATTAATTCCCCACACTCAAAGGGGAAAAGGTGACAGAATAACAATACAGATGCTATCACATGTGCCCAGAGATGCAACAAGACATAATTCAAGACCACAAAATTCAAAAAAAAAAAAAAAATACAGCTATGGAACACTGAGCACGAGAATTGAGAAGAAGGAACGTGTTGAGACTAGAGGATAAATGCTATACGATGCAAGCATATGTTTCTAACTGCACTATGGAAAAAATAATTTCTCCTGCAAAAACTCTTCAGGAACTCTTGGTTTGATGAATCAATAAATCATTGCATAGGAACTCTTAGTTTCTAGTAATCTATTAATATGTTCCAAAAAAAACTGAGTTTCATATGGCACATTGAATGAAGACATTATCTAACTGATCACTGCCAACATCAAGAATAACCAGAAAAAGAAATAAGGGAATGCTAAGATGCATCATTGCAGAACATTACCTTAACATCCCTGTGGATGTGCCCATGTGCATGGAGATAAACAAGAGCTTTGAGAGTCTCGCGCAATAATGTGGCAATGACAGGCTCTTCAAAACCTTCTGGGTAAGCAGATTTCATTATATGAAGGCATGAACCCCCACCCATGTATGGCATCACCACCCAAAGGCTATGCCCAGTGGTGAAAGAGCAATGTGCTTGTAATACATTTGGATGATCAATCAAGTTCATTGTCTGTACCTCCCGCCGGATACCATCCTGTATCAGTTGTAAGAAAAAAGGTTGACTGTGATGTTAATATAGTACTTCATGCTCAATTCTTGATGATATCTAGTGATTTATCACCTAGAAACAATATAAGTGACACATAAATGCACATGAGGAAAGACATGTATGGTCATGCAATGATTTATTAAGGTCATGTTTCAATGATGATTTCGACCAGCTTAAAGATTGTTATAAATCGAACAGTGGAACTGAAAATGAACCAGTGGACTAGGTTGTGGAGAATTAACTGGTCTGCATAACATTCTCCTGAGTTACCTGTGTTTGGTGCGGCTAAGGAAAATTGGTCCAATGAATTTGTTCCCCAGTCAGGGAAAAAAAAAGGTGCTTTACTAGGAAAAAATTGTTTTCCCACAAAGGGAACGCATTTCCAAAAAGGACCCAAAAGCTAAAGACCTTGCATTACATTTTATTAAGAATATTACAAAAAAGAAAAACACATCCTGCTACGCTAATTCGACAATTTAAAAGAAAAAGGATAATCTAAAACAAAGGGTTATTTTCTAGTGCATACTAAACACCATCAAAATGTTTTTTTTCTTTCGTCCTTATTTTCCATTGCATAACCAATCACCAAAGAAATTTTCTATGAAATTTGTTTTCCAAGATCACTTGTTTTCATGAAACAGATAGAGCAATAGTTTTATTATTTATTGATAGGAGCTAATGCAGATATGTACACAAGTGATGTAGGGGACACCGAAGGATCTTCAGAAAAGTAACAACAGGAGGCATAAAGTAATGAATAGAACAAGATATAACCATGAAGCAACTCTAAAAAGAGGAATACCTTGTTTTTGTACATATCTAACATAGAAATAAACACAAATATATTATTATCTAATAAAAATGTAATTCACTTACCAGATCATTATTGCACTTTTCCAGATCAAGAACCTTAATAGCAACTATCTGATTAAGCGGAATGCAGAGAGCCCTATACACAGTAGCGCTGACACCTTCACCAACTTCTTCATATAACTTGTAATCATTTGCACTGACAGGAAATCTCTTCTCTGAAACATACTCCATTGTTTCCTCTTATAACACACCATTAACACCAACTTTACTACTAAATGTTCCAGTGAACATAAATAAAGTGTATGTGGAGAAGGTGAAAAGTAAGGTGACGTGGGGTTTCTTCCAATTGGGCAGCATTTTGCCCCTTTCAACATAAAATATCATATGAATCCAACAGCTTCATCAACATGATATTGGCCAGTTCTTTTAATTGCAAGTAGAACCACTTGAAAAAACCTTATTTATTTTAAAACACCTGAATTGCACAAGCAGATCTCGGTGAATAGCAAAGCTTTTATCCCAAAGAAAAAGAAGAAAGAGAGAAATAATGTTGTCGGATATCTAGTAAATGCATAAGCTGAGAAGGAGTACTCGGTACAAGTAGCTCTAGAGGACATCAAAAGAATCTCCTGTTTCTTTTACACAAGCAAATATGCTCCAAAGGCCAACCAAGGTGAATTAAAAATAAGTTGTATGTAAAAGTTGAAAAACCTTTACGTTTGGCGAATAATTCAGCTGCAACTCATACAAAACCAGAAGGCATACGGTACCTGGAAGAAAAAGAAACCCTCCACATTGAAAAGATCGATTTTTTATATCTTTAAATAAAAAAAAAAAAAAAACAGGCATTTGCATGGAGCAAAGAAATAAAAATGCTCAAGAAAGTTTGAAAGGAAAAGCTAAAAGGTAAATGAACATAACCTTTTGGTTAATGTGAGTAAATCAAATCAAGCAAGGATAAAATCTCAAAGAATATAAAGTCTATTAGACCATGCATATATTTATTAAAAAAAAAAAAAACCTAAACTGGTTTATTAAATATCAAGCAAAAGCCATCATCCCCTATTGTTTTAACTAAAATCTAGATACATCTAAAATGATTGATGTGCCCAGCTCTAGTAAAATAATCTAACAAGGAGCGATTGTGCTATATATATACATCAAGTATCATAAAAGACCACAAATTTCCATTCTAACTCCAAATTAAGGAAACAAATTAGCAACACAATTTAAGAGAAAAAAATTAATAAATCTGAAAGCACAACATCAAAGGAAAAAAAAACATAGATTTAGAAAGTAAAAGCAGAGATTTCTAGGGTTTAAATAGTAATAACAGTAAAAAATAGTGAAAATCTAACCTGATTAAGTCAGTTGAACCAGAAACGATGATGTTGGATGATTAACATTCACAGATAGAACTTCCCTAACTCACTCTCTCCCGCACTTGGACAAGAACGACGACGATGATTCACTTGTACTTGGACAAGAACGACGACGAGGAGTCGCTTGTTTCAGAATTTTCTCTTTCAAGATCGAAAAAAGCCAGCGTTTATGAGCTTTGTTTGGTGATTTGATTGATAGCATAGCAGAGAAATAATAATAATAATAATAGGAACGAGAAGAAAATTAAAAAAAAAAAAAACTATTATATATATTTCTTTCTGTATTTATTTATTTACTTACTGCTAGTTGTATATTTTTTTGGACTGGTAGGGTTTGGAGAGAGAGAGGGACAACTGCAATTGCCTAAGGGCAGAGAGGGGGAGGGGGTGAGTGGGGGCCGCCAATGCCCAAGAGATTTCAGTTTTCTTTCAGTAGGTGAATATATCGCCCAGAGCTTCTATCGCCAATTTATCGGGCCACGTGGAGTGGTGGTGACTGGTGATGGAGGGAGCAAGCTGATTGCGGCCCTGAATTAGACCCAGTTTAGTCAACCATTAAGCGTCGCTGACTTGTATGTCTCTCCACTCATTAGAGTTAATTGCCCTATGTACTGCTTGCAGGCACGGCCCTTTGCATGGATTTGCTTCGCTACTCCTCAGGTTATACGAACAAGCATCATCCAAAATACCGTCCGTTGCTGAATTATCAAACTAATTTGGATAATAAATTTTTCAAAATTATCAAGAAGGAGCTGTACGAAGAAAAAAAAATTGGTTTATTTTTTACTATTTTTATAAATTTTTAGAACTAATGTGCTTTTTAATTTTATTTAGACCTCATGAATGGTTATGGAATATATATTTATATAATGGACATTTATTATTTTATAATATTCTTTATTAAATGTTCATCATATAAGAAATATATTTCATTAAAATCTTATTGAGAAAAAAAAATCCAATGAGAAAAAAATTCTAATGAAAAAATAATACAATATTCTTTATGCACATTAATTTCTATGTTGGACTTATCCTCTCTTCTAAAAAATTCAATTCTTAATATTTTGATTCAAAATTTTGTACGCGCTTTAAAAAAAATTAATCTATTTTTTAGAAAAATCTCAACTTTTTTTAAATTAAAAAATATTTTTTTTATTTTCGTAATATTAAAAACATTGAAAATCGGAAAAATAAAAATAATTCAAAAATGATCCAAAATTTTTTTAGAAGTCTCTTATAAATCTCATTAAATGATTTTCATTATAAAGCTATTTATGTAATTATTATTTTTTTGGATAAATTATAAAAAATGAAGAATGAGCTAAATCTCAAAAAATTAAAAGTTTAGGAATTCAAAAAATCAAATTTGAAGTTCAAGCACTCAATGTAGCGTCCTTAACCTAATCCTTACAAAAACTTCATATAACTTAGCAATTTTAGTTCTAGAAAACTCAATTAATCACAAATTATCACTTAGGACCGTTAAAAACCTCATATTAGAAAGATTATGAATTTTTTTTTTAGGTCACACGGCCTCCAACACGGTTGTGTACTTGCCGTGTAACTTAAACTCAAAACAAGGGTTTTTCAACCATAACACTTCAAAACCTAATCAACAACATTCTTTCCACTTATAACCCTTGGATATTCAATCAAAATCACTTTTTCTTTGTTCATAAACACGTCTCAAAACACCTCCGGGAGATTATATTTACATAGTTACATATACAATTCAAAAATCTCCTATGATGCATATGCTCGGCATAATGAGAGAGAGGAGAGGGAGATCGCCAGTCGACTCGTCACTTATGACGTGAATTGAACAACAAAAGATGACTTTAACTTTCACTTCGCTTCTTAGTACCTAAAAAGATAATTGCATTTTTAATGAGATGCTTACTCAATGAGAGAACAATAATCCATTGAAACCATAACATACAATCACGTCATCCAGGTATCATCACATATAAACAATACGAGTAGTTCATATGACTCTAAGATTACATGTTTTTCTTTTTCTTATCGGTTATAACTTGGACATGTCAAGTTTCGCCCTGAGTACTTGTAACTTGTAAACTTGTACACATGTATTGCTGGCCGACTTTATAACTTATAGTTGACCCGTTGGGTCCTTGTAAACTTGTATTTGCGAAACTTGGACAAGCCAGTCATAACCTTAACCTCTTAGTTTTGCATATATCATGAATGTTTCACATATAGCATATACAACATCCATAGCTTACACCATGGTACATATCCATTATAACATCAATAAACATAACGTTTGTGTCAACTAGTAAACGACACATCATTCACATCGTAGTATCAATATCAATAAACATAATATTGTTATAACATCAATAAACACAACATTTGCGTCAACTAGCAAACGGCACATCATTCACATCATAGTATCAATATCAATAAATATAATATTAGCACTCAATAGCAATAACACATCATGGCACAACTATTATTATTCAACTCACAAAAATGACGTCTTCGCCGTTTATCAATGCATCGCGTCTTGCACCTCACGCTCCTCGGCGTCTATAAACACATACACATATACTTTTATAATTCATTTATCATGATCAAACTTCTAAATATGCTCAAGGTACAAAATATGACTTTAAGGTTAACTTATTCCTTTATGGGTACTTGACCCCTTTTCACTCTTTCTACCATAAGTCCCAAAATACAGATTCAAATGATGCAATTCTAGTTTCATATGAAACTAGATTCATAGGTCTCTAACATATCCAAAAATCAAGTCTAGGTACGAAATACACAACTCATGATGATTTTCTAAAAATCAGAGTTGCTGCCATTTGTTTATGGGTACTTGACCCCTTCACAGTTCACACTCTTTGTACTATAAATCCTAAAATACAAGGTAAAATGACAAAATTCCAGTTTTACATGAAACTAGACTCAAAGGGGTCTAACATATCCAAAAATCAGCCCAATATTCTATATACATGATTTATTCTAGATTTTCAAACTCTAACCAGTTTCAAGCACCCTTGTTTCCGAGCAGTCTCCAAACAAACAACAATAAATCTAGATTGGGACATAATAAAGACCTAATTATTTTTTTAAAAAGAACTAGACATATCAATATAAAACATATCAAAAAATCAGATTGAAATACTCAACACCCAAAGAATAACATATTTTTAAAGTTTGCACACTAATCTGCCAGCATGAGATCACCTGGAACAACATGTGTTCAAACCATCATAACCTGAAATATAAATCACTAAATACAAAACCCTTTCACAGAGACCTAGATAAGACATAAAATAACAAATTTTATTCTTACAACTTATTCCAGATCTGACCTTAAAGTCTCCAAATCAAGAGTGCAAAACAAAGCTGGAGATGAACTTACCTAGATTTCCGAGCTTGATCATCCGAATATGACAAAGAAATGGATTTTTCCTCTCTCTCTCTCTCTCTCTCTCTCAAAACGGGAAACAAGATGGGATAAGAAGAGATAATGATCATGTAAGTAATCTTGATAACGTTGTGAAGATATTTGGCAAAGTTCATTTTTGTCCCTCAAGTTTTGGCTTGTTTTTATTCTAGTCCCCCAACTTAGATTACATTCAATTAAGCCCCTAATTCTTCCTATTATTTCAAATAATTATTATCCAATACCCCACTAACATGTCATATGCAGGTATAATTATATGCGTGTAATTTTTAAGTATGCGTGTATGCATGAACGAGTGTATGTTTTTTGGGACGAGGTTATTACACTCGATTTCAAATGAGTCAAAATTTAAGAGAGTTTTGACTCATTTAGCCTAAAAATATTCGGATAAAAAAATTTGAGTAATTATCCAAAATAATAAGCTTTCATCCTAATAATAAGGATGGCAATTTAACCATTTTCAAATGGAAATACCCTTTTTTTTTCTTTTTACTAATATCTTGAAATTACTTTTTCCCATTATATATATATGTGTGTGTGTATGTGTGTGTGTGTGTGTGTGTGTTTCGGAAAATCACAAACTATACACGTTTTAATTATTTTAACTCGTTCTTTAAAAATTATATAGAAATATCACCAATTAAGCATCCAATAACTATACTAGCATAGATCTAATTTTTCGACCAAAATTCCAAACAACACTAACATGGCAAGTGACGAAGCATGACAACTAGACTTAATATGCCATGTAGAATCCATAAAAACAATGACGTAGTCATCCCCTATATACCCCAATTACAACAAAATCCCTAATCCTTAATTCAAATTAACCCTAACCCTTTCAAATTCATTCTAATTTTCCACAATACCTCATTCTTTACAATTTCCTCAATAACTCGTTCTTTCAAATTTCCTTCTTGTTCTCCTTCGTTTGCCTTCGTTTTTGTAGAATCGTTTATCCGGAGATCCTTTCTTCTTCCTCCATCTTCTCTTTCTTTCTTCCTAAAATTGAACCCATAAATCCTCATTTCTTCTTTCTTCATCTACTCCTTCCTTCTCATCCCTCGAACCCACAAAACCTCCAACCATATTATCTCCTTCGTCACAAAGTAATTGCTTATAGTTCCGCGATTGAAAACTCAAACCCCTCTCTATCCATGATCCCTTAAGTTCAAAATCTCAAACTCCTTGAGACAAACCTTCAAGAAAATACTGCGAAACCCTTTTTGCCCAAAAACCCTTTACGTCAAAACATTTATTCTCGTACCTTTAACCACTTGAATTTTTCTAATAAAATTTCAAATCACAATCCCTAAAATTATATAATCCAAACCTAAATCTATTTATCTTTTTGTTAATGTTTCTATCCACGGAATGGCAAATCGTTTCAAGATTAATGTTCATATTGGTGGAGTTTTTAATAACATGAGTCTCATTTCTTATGTTGGAGAGGTAAGAGTTGTATTAGCCAAGTGGTTAAAGGACCCTAATTTTATTAATTTAAAAGATCTATATGATGTTGTTATTAAATCTAGATATAAGACACCTAGGGTTATGGTATTTAAATAACCGAGGTTTAAATTTAAGTGAGGGAGGATAAATTATAAATGGGGGTGTGATATTTATGAAGATGTTAGGTTTTACATGTGAATAAGGGTCTATAGATGTTTTTGTGGAGGCGTATGAGGATGTCAAAATAAATGAGTCTTAACTCAAGAAAAGGATGGTGGTGATGCTTTGGGTGATAATATAGGTGGGGATGGTTTAGGTGTTAGGCTTTGGGTGATAATGTAGGTGGTAATACTTTGGGTGATGTTGCTTTGGGTGATAATGTAAGTGGGGATGGTTTAGATGCTAGAGCTTTAGGCTATAATGATGGTGATGATAAAGACTATGTACCAATTGAAGAACCACAAAGTGAAGTAATTTAAGGCTAATTCGAAAGTTCTATTGATGAAGAACTAATTGATGCTTGAAAGCAAAGAAGAAGTATGAGGAGGAAGTGTAGCTCCGGACTTTAGTTCAATGATCACGTGATAGTGCCAACCCTATCAATTAGGAGAAAATTTTGATCCATTTGAACGCAATATACTTCAACCTAATGAAGGAAGGTATGTTAGTGCATATGATAGCAATAGAAAAGATGAGCATATAACCCCTCATGGAATGGACAAAAATGCCATATTTGCCTATAGGAGATAGAAAAAAGAGAAAAGAGTTAGTGCATATGATTTGACATATAACCACAAAGACCTTGTTTTTAAGGCTAGAATGAAATTCAAAAATGCTGAAGAATTTAGAAAAGATATGCAATTATATGGTATTAAAAATGAAAGAGATGTTAGTTGGGTTAGGAGCACAAAAAATGTTTAGAAGCTAGATATGTTAAAGGTTTATGAATGAAGATTGTATGTAGGTAAGAAGCGGTTAGAGCATGCATTTAAAGTGAAGGTTGTGCATCCACGACCATAAATATGGAAGATCATTGAAAAATAGGTAAACTACTTGAAAATGGCTAACCGAAACCTATATCTATAAGCTTTATAATAATCATAATCGGCCCATAAAGGAAATGTAAGATACCGTTAATGAGAGGTATGCATTAATAGTAAATATTCAAAAGTGTTACAAGGCTAGAGGTGTGGCTCTAGACATCTTAAGAGGTTCCTTGATCAAACATTATGTAAAATTAAATCTTATATGCTTGAGTTGAAGAGGGTAGATAAGAAAATAATATTATGTTTTCAAACTATGAAGGGTGGAAATTTTTAGTTTAGAAGATTTTATGTTGGATTTTCGGTATTAAGAAAAAGGTTTCTAGATTATTGTAGGAGAGGGTTTGATCTTGATGATGCTTTCTTGAAAACACTTTTAGGAGGTTGTTTGCTAATTATAGGAGGAAGGGATGCTAATGATAAGATGTTTCCCATCGTATGGGCTATTATTAATAGTGAGATTGGAGGAAAATAGAAATGGTTTATGGATTTGCTTACAAGGGATCTTAGCATCATTGATGGAAATTCTTGGATAATTATCGGTGACTAACAAAAGACAAGTTTTAAATTTTGTTTGTTCGTTATTTGTTACTATTTTATTCATCTAAGTTATTATCACGCATATGTTTTTAAAGCCTAGAGAATGTTATATTTGAGTTGATGCCAAATTGTGAACATAGAAAATGTTTAAGGAACATATATGTGAATTGAAAAAGAAAGCATAATGGTGAGCTATATAAGAAATTATTATGGAAGGTTGTTAATGCTACAAACTTGATGGATTATAATCTCATATTGGATAAGTTAAAAGGTGTGGATGAAATAGCGTTTGATGACTTTGTTAAAGTTGGGCCTCCAAAGTTTTATAAGGCATTCTTTAAGACCAATCTAAAGTGTGATGCATCCGTAAACAATATGTATGAAGCATTTATTGGGACTATATGCAAGGCTATAGTAAACTTATTAATAGATATATTGAAAGATATTATGACCTATTTGATGGAGAGGATGTACATAAACATTCAATTAATTGAGTCTTTCAATGATGAAATCGCCTACTAGGATAAGATAAAAGTTGAAAAAAATTAAACTTGAATCATATACATCTAGGATAGTATCGATTATTGGTGACGATTTCAATCTAGATTTAGTAAGGACACATATGTTATTAATTTGAAACGACATTCACACGGTTATAGGGCATGAGATGTCACTAGTATTCCATACAAGCATGTTGTAGCAAACATAACATTCATAAGGGTGAGCTTGCAGATTATATTGTCGATGATTTTAAGATGCAATCAAATGTTAGAATATATTTAAATAGCCACTGAATTTTTGAATGGGCTCAAAATGTGGCTTATTAGTAAAGGTCGTGATACACTCGCCCTCTTCTTACAAGAAAATGCTAGAAAGGCCAAAGCAAAAAAGAGAATAGCTCGGGGTGAAGAAATAAGGAATACATAAAACATTCAAGGTTGGAGTCCAAATGCTATGTCAAATATGTTATGCTTATGACCATTATAAGAGAACATGTAAAAATAAGAAGCAAGATGACTCGGACCCCACTCTTGTAATTCTATGTTTAATTATGTTTTCCTTATACTTTAAGTTTGGTTGATTTGATTTTAATTAATTATAATCTAAATTTTTTAATAGTACCTTTAATTGTAGGTTAAAAGAGGAAGAGAAAGAGGAAGATCTTTGAAGTAATGTGCTACAATTCTTACATCTACCTCCATGGGTGCATCAACTTCTAGACCATACCCTACATCTAACTCCGGACCCCCTTCACATCTAGATCTACCTCGGCCTTTTTAAGATCCGACTTAGCTATAAACGTTAATGAAAATAAAAAGAAAAAAACGATCAAAGGTTTTTGAGTGTACATAAGTGTTTGGTAACATGTACTTAAAAATAAGTTTTATATGTTTTCCTTAATGTTTAATAGATTTGTTGATTAAATTGTATAGTATAAATTTACTTGATCTTAATATTGATATTACGGATGATCTGTTAATGGCAAAGCTAATACTATTGTAAGAGGGCATTCGATGGCATCAAATGCTATACTAATTACAAGGCTAAGTGTTCAAAATGTTATACGAACTAAAGACAAACTATTCAAAATGCAAAAAAGACCAAGTTCAACCATTAAATTTTCTAAACCATAATGATAGCTTGCACGTGAATATTTTAATCTACTAAAATGTGGCTTTTTTAGACCATTGAAGCACTATGACAAGTTGTGAATGTGTTTCATATTTTTTGGAATATTGTGATAAACTATGTATTTGTTGGCTAATATGTTTTTTCTTTACTCTTATGGGAATATTAAAGTTTTTATATGGATTGATATGGATGTTGACTTGGCTTGCCTTTATTGGGACCATATGTATATGATTTTGTTTTAATAGATTGATTGGGACCATAAGTGTATGGCAGATTGATTGGTTGGGACCATATGCATATGCATATGCCTTTATGTGGTTGGGAATATTAATTACAAAGCATGTTATTTATTTATTGCTTTCGTGTGAACATTTCAAGAAGGATATTTAAGACTCTTTGTTTGTTTACAAAATTAGGCGATTTTGGCTTTGAGTTATTGCTACCTTATTTTAGGGTTATTAATACAATCCCTTAGAAGAAGAAGGGAAAGGGAGAAGAGGAAGGCTAAAGACTTGGTTTAGTATTTCTTCATATTATCTGTTTTGTTTACTTATTTTAAAGATATCAATACAATCCAAATTTCTTAATAGAGTTTGGTAAAAATATTGAAATGGCTAGGTACTTTTTTTTGCCTTATTTTTTCTATCGTTATAGTTACTCCTAGTCATGTCTTAAATCAATACATGCTCACGGTTACTCGTTGATGTTAGTGTAGGTGTCTAAGATCCAATCTATTTAGATGATTTGATATATTATATTATTGTATTTTTAATATTAATAAATAAATATTTCTATTAATTCTTGCTATTTATAATTTAATAAGAAATAGATAAAAGTCCATATGATATTCATTGCATTTATGATTGATTAATAGATGTGAGACAAATATCAATACACATAAATAATATCATTAAATGTATCAAGTTGTAGTATTATCGAGATTGGATATTGACAATATATAGTAAGACTTGTGAGTGTTATGCTCTTACTATAAGATAGTAGTAGGAGATCTCACACACTACTAGCATGGTGATACCAAAGCAAGCACACATGTGAATAATGCTAGAAAACATATCACTTGGATGTGACTCACTGTAAGAACCCATTTAGTATTATCTATAGTAATCGATATGAGATGGATACAAGTAGTCTTTTGACTTGAAGTCGTCATGATTATCTCATTAGATAATTGGTGTACTTTGACATTCATTTTGATGGGCTCGGTAAAGCATCGTATGTGAGTGATTCATTGGGTACATCAAGAATCTAATGGAGATGAGTGGCTAACTAAGATAGGACATGTTATTCCTTATATATCGAAAGAGTTATCATATTGCATTTCGATGAATGTCGATCAAGAA